AAATTAGTCAAGAGTACTTATGGAAGCTTTAATAAGATAGATATTGAAGAACAAGCAGGGGGTTGTTTTGTGCCATTAATGGTAAATTTAAGTGCTTAGTCTAAAACGTGGAAAAAGATTGGATGTCAGTTTCAGATGTTAAGCAACCCTAAAGAGATAGACAATGTTAAGTAGTGGAAAAGCTGCAGTTTGACTGTCTTTGGGGTGGTTGCTGCTGAAACATTAAAACATCACCATACTGTGAAGGAAATACTAGCTAGTAACATAAAAGAATAGAGGAGCGATGACCTTGCTAGAAAATATTTGTACCTCAGGTTTTAAACTTCCTTCTTGGCCCAGATATTGGTAGAGGGACCAGGTTCCTTACTCTGTCACGGATTGGGTTTTTGTAAGTGTTCTAATCACAGAAAACTATATTTCTTCCTAAACTTTGTTTTACTATTTCCAAACTTGAAAAGGGATAATTTGGAGAATTTTGTAAGTAATGATATCTGGAGTCATGGCAGGTGTGTCCTTCACTGGCAAGGGTATGTATTTTTTTCAGTGTTGACTGACATAACATTACATATTTATTTGGTAGATAAATATTTTTGTTTGTGTTGGGACAGGATTTAATAACCTGGAACAAAATGGTGTGTCCCCGTTTGTTGTCATTTTCAATAACAATATGGATTATGGTATAATGTCAGTTACCTGCACTTTCCTCACGAGCACTGTTGTCTCAACAGGTCTCAGGCAAGACTACGCTTCCACATCAGCATCCGTGTCCAGACACAGCTCCAGTGTGTCACTGAGCTCAGGCAAAAAAGGGACATGTAGTGATCAAGAGTATGATCGGTACAGCCTGGAGGACGAGGAAGAATTTGATCATTTGCCACCACCTCAACCTCGTCTCCCGAGGTGTTCACCTTTCCAAAGAGGAATCCCCCACTCACAGACTTTCTCCAGCATTCGAGATTGTAGGAGGAGCCCCAGTTCCCAGTATTTTCCTTCAAATAATTTCCAGCAGCCACAGTATTATTCACCTCAAGCCCAAACTGCAGATCAGCAACCAAATAGGACCAATGGAGGTAGGTTACGTTCTACAGCTAACAAATCGTTGGCAGGTGTTTCTCAGATCTAAGTTCACCCTTATCGGTGTGGTCTCCATTTACATCTAAAATTGACTGTCTTCTAGCTGTGTCTCAGCTTTGTGGATTTCTGACTTCAGGAAAACCACCACACACCCACCTCAGAATCACATTGAGGTGTGAACATCTTTTTGGGTAGTTGTGTGTACACTGTCCGTGTGTGAACGAGTGTGTGTGTGTATTTGTGGCTGGGGTTGGAGGTCAGTGGTTGTTGGATTCCTTAATTATTCCCCATCTTATTTTCTGAGACCAGATATCTCGCTGAATCTGGAGCTTGATAATATGGCTATACTGGCTGGCTGACAAGTCATGTGTGCGTCTGCCTGCTTTCCCAGAGCTGAGATTATAGGAATTCTTTTTTATTTGGGTACTGGGGGATCTGAGCACGCCATCTCTTCAGCCCCTGAGTGTGGAGATCTACTGTACTGTGGCAGCATTGTGCAGCCCGGGGCCTTCATGGCTCCATGTAGTTGAAGGCCCCGTGTAGCATTCACAACAGCAGTAGCCCCTTACTCTGGGTTTTGAACTTAGAGTGACAGTGTTGACCAAAGCTTTGGGAAGATGCTGCTCTTGCACACTTGGGTGTAGGGGGAGTCTGCAAAGCATGCTTCAGACTCCTAACTTTAATATCTGTGAAGCAGTAGGGTTGGACAGACGGCTATGTGGTTAATGAAACGTTCATCTGTGATGTCAGTGTGATGGGGTATAACTCTTTCATATTTTTTTACTGTATTCTGAGGAATTACACTCTGTGACTACCAGAAATCTACAGAGAGAACAGTCATGTAATAATCCAAGGCTGATATGTGTGTGTGTGTATTTATGATCAGCCAGGACCTCCATGTAGAGCCTACAAAATTGGAAGAAATTACTTGTTACAGCCTTTAATTATTAAATCATACAATTTCTCAGTCTAGAAATAAATGATACTTTAAATGTCCCCAAGGTGAATACAAGTTGGATTAGTGATCAAATATTCCACACTTTAGTTTTCATCATTTCTTCCACCATACTTGTATTATTCCACAGACTGGAAGTTCATTTGAAAGTATTTAAAGCATGGTATTCTAAATTTCTCTCTTGATACCCTCAGATTTTTAAATCTAAGACTTGGCTAAAGAAAGTCATAGCAACTAATGTCTTAAAGCTCCTAATGGCAGCCAGATGGTGCTACATTCTCCATGCTTACTGGCTATCATGACACCGAGCCATGCTTGGAAGATGGGCACCTGGCCTTGTTACCTCGGGTTCTTTTCAAGCACCCCAGTTGAGTTTGTCCTGCAGATGTTGGCTCTACATCTCAGCCGCTGTCTCAGTCCAGGCTACTATTTCTGCAGTGAAAAACCATCACTGAAAAGCAGGCTGGGGAGGAAAGGGTCTGTTTGTCTCACACTTCCACACTGCTGCTCATCACCAAAGGAAGTCAGGACAAGAAATCAAACAGGGCAGGATTCCAGAGACAGGAGCTGATGCAGAGGCCATGGAGAGGAGCTGCTGGTTACTGGCTTGCTTCACAGGACTTGCTTAGAGAACCCAGGGCCAGCAGCCCATGGATGTCACCACCCACAGTGCGCTGGACCCTCCCCCAGTGATCACTACTTGAGAAACTGCCTTACAGCTGGATCTCATGGAGGCATCTCCTCAACTGAGGCTCCTTCCCCTCTAATGTCAAGTCCACACACAAAACATCACCATTAACTCCGTCCTTTCTTATTCATCGTCATGATATCATATTAAAAATATAAATCACTTTGAAAGTTCCACAGTCTTTACAAATTCAAACACATTGAAATTCCAGTCTCTTTAAAATAGCCAATTTCTTAAAATCTTAAGTCTTTAAAAATTCAGTCTCTCAACTATGGGCTCCAGTAAAATACTTTACTTCATGAGGGAAAAACCAGGGCACAGTCACACAAATCAAAGCAAAACCAAATTTCAACCTGTGGTGATGCTGTTTATACTCTAACAAATAAAGCTTGCCTGAAGACCAGAGAAGCCCTGTGCTGATGCTGTTTGTACTCTAACAAATAAAGCTTGCCTGAAGACCAGAGAAGCCCTGTGCTGATGCTGTTTGTACTCTAACAAATAAAGCTTGCCTGAAGACCAGAGAAGCCCTGTGCTGATGCTGTTTGTACTCTAACAAATAAAGCTTTCGTGAAGACCAGAGAAGCGCAGCAGCCAGCCACCAGAGCTCTTCCCTCTATAAAATCCTCAGCCTGAAAAGACAGAGAGCTCCTCTCTCCTCCCACCTATGTTCCTCTCTCTTCCTAGCCATCTTACTTCCTGTCTGTCTGTATAGACCTCCTGAACTCTATGGTTAGCTAGTGGCTAGCTCCTCCCTCAGATCTTCAGGCAAGCTTTATTTGCTAGAGTACAAACAGATATCTGACACTGGGCTTTTATTTAATACCTATTAGAACTCCTGTCATCCAACCATCCAGTGTCTGGGATCCACTCACGATCTTCTCCACAGGGCTTGGATCACTTCTCTGCCACTGCCCCTACAACACACACAGCTGTCTTCTTGGCTCTGACTGCAATGTCTCCTCCCATGATGGCTCCTTCCCATTGCTGCTGCCCCTGGTGGTTATCCCATGGTACTGGCGTCTCCAAAACACTGGGGTCTTCTGCTGCAACTGGGCAGTAGCCTCCTTCACCAATAGCCTCTCCTCATGGTGCCAAGCCTCAACTTCTCTGCATGACTCTTCCAGTTCTAGGCCTTCAACTGCCACCGAGGCTGCACCTTCACTAGTGGCCTCTCCTGGCCTCTCACAGTGACAAGTGTCACCTATTCTCCGTGACCCCTCATGCCTTCAAACCAGTACCACCTGGGTGACTCTTACACATTACCAAGTCCCACTGCCAGCATGAGGTTCTACCTTGGCCACCTCTGGAACACAGCATCTCTGTGCTCTTAGGAAACACTTCCCAGAAGATTTCACCTCAGTGATGCTGGTCTCTTCTTAGTCACCGCAAATTTCTTAGCTTCAGCTACCCAGGATCAACTGTCCCAGTAATATAAGGGTTTCACTTTAGTAGTTCTGGTGTCTTGTTAATCACAGCTGATTCTTCAGCCCCAGCTAACCAGAACCACAGAATCTTAATTCAAAATAACAAATGACCTGAGTCTTCAAGCTTCCCCCTAACCTTCACAAGTCCAAGCTCCATCCTCTGCACTGTTCTCAACATTATCTCCCAAGTCCCATAGAACACAAGGAGCTCCTACACTCAATGGCTCCTCTATCCAGCCCACAGTCCTTCCACAATTCTCTGAAGTCAGGTCTGTCACAGCAATACCACACTCCTGGTACCAATTTGTCTTGGTTAGGGGGTTTCTATTTTTTTGTGATGATACACCATGACCAAAAGGCAAGTTGGGAGGAAAGGGTTTATCTGGCTCACACTTTCACATTGCTCCTCATCACTGAAGGAAGACACAACAGGAACTCTGCCTCTGGAATCTAGAGGCAGAAACTAATGCGGAGGCCATGGAGGAGTGCTGCCTACTGGCTTTCTCCACAGGGCTCACTCAGCCTGCCTTCTTAGAAGAGAACCCAGGGCCAGCAGCCCATGGATGGCATCACCCACAATGGGTGCGGCCCTCCCCGGGTGACCACTACTTGAGAAAAAGCCACAGCTGGATCTCATGGAGGCATTTCTTCAACTGAGGCTCCTTCCTCTCTAATGACTCTAGCATGTGTCAAGTTGACACAAAACCAGCCAGTACAACTGGTATCAGTAGAATTGTTCTCTTCCATACCACCGTTTGTTCTACCTTAGAAAAGTGACAACACTTTTATCAAACACCATTCGGAAAGGACTGGGTTTCTCTGAAGCCCACACTATGATGCTGTTCAAAGAGAACAGGCGTGTATAGTAGTTTTATTTAATTTAAAGTTTCTGTCTGGGGAGAGACATGGAATACAAAGGCACTTTTCTGGATGTACTTCTGATTAATCCACTTCATGGCTGAGAGCACAGGCTCTGAAGTCAGCGGGCCCTGAGTTCTAGTCCCGTCTTCCCACGCTAGGACACAGTTTCTCAGGTCACTGAGCTGTGGTTTTCTAACCTGTAAAACGAAGATAAGATAACGTCTAACTTTAGGAAAACATCACTGTAATTTGACATCAAACCATCTGGTATATTTTCTCCCAACTTAAATATAAGGAATAAATTAAATAATGGATACTACATTGCCTGGAGTATATGTGCTAAAAAAAATCTCTCTCCCACTCCACCTACACTTCTTGAACATTTTTAAGCATATGGCACAGATAACTGAGCCTCCGTTTGTTACCATAGAATGTTATTCTAACCAACTTATGAAAGAAAAATGGTAACTTTGAGAATATCCAATGTGTTTCTCAATTACTAAAACAATATAGATGGCAATAATCAATTATTAGCTCTTGGATCTATTTTTAAAAGAGGACATGAGGTTGGGATCCTGAAGTAAACTGGAGTAGGGAAGGGAGGAGTAGATATGGTAAAGAAACATTGTATAATGTATGACATTTTAAAAGATTAAATATCAGTTTAAAATGTACTAAATTTTTGTATAATTATTGTGACGAAATATACCTCACTCAAACTAAACCAAACTGTTGCGGTGGCATACACCTTTAATCCCTCAGAGGCAGAGGCAGGTGGGTCTCTAAGTTCAAGACCATCTTGGTCTACATGGTTATTTCCAGCCACACCCAGACAAAACCACAACCCAAACAAAACAAAACCCATTTAAAAGAGTAGAAATGGATTTTTCAAAATATATTGTTTTGTGGCTCATACACTGTCTAATTTCAAAGAGATAGCTTATAAAACTTCTTGACGTGTTTTTGGGAATCACTGAGCTGGGATTTGTTTGTCAGATGGTAAATACTTTGCCAGGAAACAACAGTAACTGAACTGCATGTTCTTCCCACCTTCTCTGAACCCGTTCAGAGCCTGGCCAGTATGATGTCATCATTGGTGTGTGTGTGTGTGTGTGTGTGTGTGTGTGTGTGTGTGTGTGTGTGTGTGTGTGTTGACTGGCAGGTGAAACTAGTGTCTCCTTGATTCCTGAGTTGTTCATGTTCCTCAGAAGGCTGAGTTTTGCTGTCCCCTGATTGTGAGCATCTGAACTTTCTTGTCTCTTTCACTTTTCTCTTGTCTATTGGCCCTTGAAGATGAAATCTCTGATTTCTTAGGAGATGGAATTAGGAAACTGATTTTTAGCCCCTGGATTTTAAAATGTGTGAGTGCATTTCAGGTTGTTTGCCAGGGAAGTGAACCATATTTCCTGATAGTCTGATTCAACCATGGATCAAGCTCACCCCAAGTGCCCAAAGGATTTATACTCAGACAGCTTATTAGTAGGGACATATTCCAGGATTATGGAGTTAGCAAATTGTCTTGGTACCCAAATATGAGTGAAAGCTGCTCTTAAAGGTCAGTGTGTCTGGATTAATGGTGATTAACCACACATAATGTATGTACCTTACCTAGTCATGGTTTAGCGGCGGACTGTAACAAATATCTTGGGATGTGTAAAAGATTTTTGCTTAAAGTATCAAGAATATCTAAAGCTTTTATATTGTTGAAAGCCAACAAATGTATATGGTATATGCCCGTGGTACAGTTTTCATCGCTACATTTAAAATATGGTAGATTTTTTGAAAATAATTGTACCCTAATTTGTATTAATTGGTTAATTAATTAATAGTACTGGGGATGCAACTCAGGTACTAATCTGTGCTAGGCCAACTGTCACACTATCAGCTCCTGGAATGAAAAATTTAAACTATAGAACCTCAATTTTCTAATTAATAGCATATGATTGTTTCCCTCTGCTCCTATGCTATTTAAAACACTGTATAGTGGAAATAGTCTCATTTTGATGTAGGCTCTTCTTTACATCAGATTTGTGATGTTCCAAGAGACCTAGTTTTGAGTTGTTTGAATGTCTTGCTTTTAACATGTACTGTGCCCCCCCACACACCTGTGTTGAATATATTAAGTGTCTGCTGCATGGAGCTAGGGCCTATGATAGGAATGGGAATATATAAGTCATACTATTAAAAATAGGCCTCATGTAGGTCTGGGGGTGAAGGTCATTAGACTGCTCGTAGCACTTGTGAAGCCTTGGCTTATTCTCAACTCTGGCTGTTAGGGGAAGCCTCAAGGTGAACGTGTAGTCTTCCTGCCAGCCACTTGGGTCCCGCTGCTGTCTCAGCCCCCAAATAACACACAAGACACTATTAATTATGAAGCTGCTGGCCGTTGCTTTGATTTCTTATCGACTAACTCTGACTTAATTATTAACCCATAATTGCTAATCTAAGTATTTTCACATGGTCTTCTCTTACTGGAGAAAGGGTCCGGACCTCTTACTCCTCTGGCATCCTACATCGTGACTGATTGTGCCTCTGTTTCCCAGAATCCTCCTTGACTCCTAGTCCCACCTTCTTGCTCTCCTATTGGGCAACAGTGCTTTATTCATTAACCAGTAAGAGAGACATGGGGAGTTAACAAAGTCCGTCCATCATACTTATGTAATGTGACTTTTTATGCTTGCTTGATTTTCTGTCTGTTCCCTAGAGTACAGCAAAGAGCAAAAAGTTCCTTGGCAGAGGTGCAGTTGATGGATATAAGCAATGAAGATGGTGTTGTGTGTAAGGGAAGAGTTTCAGTGCACTATGAGTCAAGTATATCACAAGTTTCTGATTTAGCTTGAGAAAAGAAAAGACCATGAGACCCTATGTCCTGATATGTACACTCCAGTGGATTAGACTATATTTTTTATTTTATTATTTTTTACATACTAAACCCAGGTCCCCCTCCCTCCCCTCCTCCCACTCCCTCCACCTCTCCCCCCCCCCCATCCCAGCCACCCTTTTGCTTCTCAGAGAGGGTAAGGCCTCTCATGGGAGTCAACAAAGTCTGTCCCATCACCACGTTGAGGCAGGACCAAGGCTCTCCCTGCTGTATCTGTGCTGAGCAAGGAAACTCCTTAGGAAATGGGTTCCAAAAAGCCAGTTCATACTCTAGGGATAGGCCCTGGTCCCACTGCCAGTGGCCTACACACTGCCCAAACCACCCACTGGCACCTGCATTCAGGGGGCCTACTTCAGTCCTATGCAAGCTCCCCCGGCTGTCAGTACAGAGTCAGTGAGCTCTCACTAGCTCGGGTCAGCTGTTCCGGTGGGTTTTCCTATCCTGGTCTTGACCACTTTGCTTGTATTATTGCTCTTCCCTCTCTACAACTGGACTCCGGGAGCTCAGCCCAGTGGTTAGTTGTGGGTCTCCGCATCTGCCTCCATCAGTTACTGGATGAAGGTTCTGTGATGGCGACTACAGTAGTCCTCAATTTGAATACAGGAGAAGGTCATGTCAGGCACCGTCTCCACTATTGCTTAGAGTTTTATCTGGGGTCCTCCTCGTGGATTCCTGGGCATTTTCCTAGTGCCAGGTTTCTTGATAATCCCATAAAGGCTCCCTCTATCAAGAATAATTTCTTGCCCTCCCTCTCTGTCCTTCCCCCAACTCAACCATCCTGCTTCCCCATGTTCCCTCCCCCACCCCCCTTCCTTCCTCCCTCCCCTTTTCCCTCCCACTCTCCCCACTCCCAATTTACTCAGGAGATCTTGTCGATTTCCCCTTCCTGGGTGGACTCATGTGTGTCTCATAGTATATTTAACAGAGATAATTCATAACATTTAAGCATTACCATGTTTATGATTTCAGCCATACTCTACTTTGAAGATATTTTTCTTTAATATTTAATTTCACTTTGGAGAAACAATTTAAATTCATGTTAATTTTTCTCTCTAGGATTGATAATGGAACAAAAGATAAGAAATGGTTTAAACCATAAGCTCAACGAGAATTGGAAACTGGTGGTCACATTCAATTTGGTGCCCCCAACATAATAAAGAGTGCTTGGCATTTAGCATATGCACCATAAATACTGTTCCTCTGTTCATCCCTTCCTTCCATGGAAACGAGAAATGTGTCCAAGGGGAGGGACCCTAGTGCCCAATGAGAGAGTGCTCCCCTGTCACTGGGATAGGCTGAATGGGGCATCGGGAGATAAGTCTTGTGGTGTCTGTTGAACCTGTGATCTGGAGGCCTAATCTGACCCGTGTTGAGAACTTTAGGCTTTGGGGTTGAGGTGAGGGAGATTGGAAGTAGGGCGGAGGCCGGTGTATCTCAGCATTCTGGAAGAGCACGGCAGGGTCCCTGGAGCCCAGTTAAGTGCGGAGTGCTGACAGTAGCGCTGTTGTGAACTGTGTGGTGGAGGCTGGATGAACATAGCACTGACAGCATCTGCAGTCTGGAGCACAGGGGCAAAGGGGTAGACGCGCTGAGGGGAAAGCACTGAAGCCCAGTTTAGGGCTTGGTCCGGTTTGGGCTCAGTGGTCAGATGTAACTGCTGTTTCCTGGGGTGACCTGAACTGCGTGGTAATGGGGGGGCAGAGGGGTAGTAAAGAACCAATTACCTTGAAGAGATTCCTGATTTAGCTTTCAAATGTGAGCCAGGCTGTTAGTCTGTAACTCTCTGCCACCTCCTGGTGGCAGAAGATGTACCCAGCAGGAAAGATGCACAAATAATCAGGCCAGTCAGTGTTTTAGTCTCTTCTGAGTATGTATGTACACAGCTTGCATACTGGGAGGGTTGACCCTTTGGAGGTGGTCATCCTAAGACAGTTAAAATTGGAATGGGGAGGATTTTATTGATTTATTCCATTTTGACCTGTTAGCAAAAGATTTAGTAAGTTTTGGTTTTGAGTCTCCTTTTTTAAATTAGCAGGAACCTTTGTTTTTAGTGTTTTCGTTTCTAAATGACTCCAGGATCCTTTTCTAACCTTATTTAATGCAGTGTTGGCCACTTACTAAGTAGTAGCCAACAGCAAATTGATTAGGACGGCTTTTCTTTTTTATTATAGAATGTGTGTGTTTCTCTTGTCGACATTTCTGTTGGAATTTTCTGGAGCATATAGCGCCCATGCATGCAAGAGGCTAGTTCTCCCTTAGTCTGTTTGCTATTTTCTGCATGTCACTCATCAACGTGGCATTTTGATTTACTTTTGAAAGCAAATGTTCTGATTGGTGTGGCGTTTATTTGTGGCTTTTCACTCAAGGAAAACCCTTTCTTTTAGATAAGCTCCGAAGAAGTATGCCTAACCTAGCCCGGACGCCGAGCACTGCCGCCGTTAGCAGCAACCTCAGCTCTCCCGTGACCGTGAGGAGCAGTCAGAGTTTCGACTCCAGCTTGCACGGAGCTGGGAGCACGGTTTCAAGGGTGCCGTCCTGCAGTAAGTGTGAGACAGTGGTGCCTCTGATTAGTCATAACGCCAGTAGGAAAGTTACTTATTTTCCATCATTTTTTTCCTTTTGTTCCTAAGCACACCAGAGGAACACATTACTGTCTTGTAATGCAGTTTTCACTATAATCGAATAGTGTTCCCTTCAGTGCCCATGTTACCAACTGCTCCTACTAATAAATCATAGGGGCCCTTCACACCCAAGGATAGCAGGCAGGCTAAATAATCGATAGTTTGCCCATTATACAAACCTCTTCCCCCTGCAGGTTACCACCTTTCTTCCTGTTTGTCTGTTTTTCTGTGGAGAGGCACACTGGTTTGGTCCAGCTGGTCATGTTTTTCGCCATTCCAAGCATTTCCTTCTCTCTGAAGATGAAGATATGTGTTAGTGTGTGTAAGGTTCTTCGAATCTCCGTTCCAGTGCACCACATAGTCGCTGCGCTCACTCGCTATCCGTCTTCCCATCAATGAGCTGTGTAACGTTAACCCTGCTGTGTGCGTTCAGCTCCCGTGGGATGAGCTGGTTCCGGGTATTCATCCCTACATAGGAGGGGCTGAGCCTTACACTGACACTAGGGGGAGACTGTAGGCCAGTATTCACTTACCCGGAAGAGATCCACGGAGTGCGCCCGCTCAATGTGCTGGCTAAGAGTAGTTTCCAGACTCTGCTGCTTGAAGCCCAGGTTTGCTACCAGTTCATTTCCCAACATGTGGTCGTCTTTTATTTCTCGATGTCCGAGTTCCTAACACCAAATTGACTGCATTTGTTCTGTGTAAGGAGCTGTGCTAGCTGGGTCTCAGACATTGTCTTGCTTAGTCTAGCAACAGCTCTGTGAGGTTGTTTCTGTTACCATTGCCATTTTGGTGATGAGAGACAGTTTCAAACAGGTGGAGCAGCAATTTGGCTGAGGGTGGTCAAGCCAGAAGTGCAGAGTCTGCTGGACTTATGCTATCTGATACTGTGATGCCCTGCTCCCATGGGCTGCTGTCCTCTTTTTCATATTTCTTCTGTTTTTCTTCGTAGTTTTAACTTATCCTTTGATAAGTCCTTATTGCTTTACTGGTGACCCTAATGCATGCTCCTGAATACTGTAGAAACAGGATGGGTAGATTTTTGGTTCAATCTCTTACTCAGTGTACAGGTTAAACTTCTGCAACCTGAAATCAAGAATAAAAATTCCAAGATCTGAAACTTTATCTGATACCTGTGGGAAATTCTATACTTCGAAACTGCTTCATATAAAAAGTATTTACAGTGTGGGATAGAATTATCATTAAGTTGTGTGCGTGTAAGTGAAGCTTGTGCTCAGACTTTGGGTCATCAGCAGTGTGTGAGCATTTCTGTTGCTGTTCCTGAGGGAGGTGATGTCAAAGGAAGAAAGATGGTTTGGTTCACATTTAAGCGGGGCTTTTTGGTCCATGACTGGTGGCTCTGTTGCTTTGGGGCCTGAGGCAAGGGAAACATTATGGAATCTGTAGAGGAGGTAGCTGCCCAGTTCCTGGTGACAAGGACACAGAAGATAAACAGGGAGAGGTCACACTCTTCAGTGATCTGTCCCATGACCCACCTCTTCCATCTACAAGTCCTAAAATTTCTGTCACCTTCAAAGGAGACCAAGCCTTCCACACCCGTGCGTCACCTTTCGTAATCGAACCAAAGCATTTTGCTCCTGGCCAGCTCTTGTCCATCTGGTAATGCACTAGGAACTGAATCTGTCTCCATGAATTCCCAGTGATCTTGACAGTTCCTGGAGTGCTCAATCACATCGGGAGAGCAGGGTCAGAAAAGGAGTAAATGGGCCAAAGCAAGGCCGAATCCCAGCAAGGTGGGCACCCGCTGCCACAGTGTCGATGTCATAATGTGAGCGCCAGGGCTCTGGGGGAGCCACACCCCTTTGGTTTTGCCACTCCCAGCCTGTATGGCTTCTCCCCGCACTAGCTCCTTTCATTCTGCATCTCTCCTCGGCAAATGTCCCATGTCTCTGTATCTGTAATTCCTGAAATCTCCACTGCAAGGCTTCTGACCCTCCCATACGCTGCTGCCCAGTCTGTCCCCTTCACTGTCCTCTGAGTGCTTCGACAGAGGCCCTCTGAACCTGTCACTCTTGCCTCCTACTTACCCACAAAACCAGCATCACATGAGTGAGTCCAGGGTCTCCTAGCCAGCTCAAGGAGTAGCTGAGCTCTTTTGGACCATGGCTGCAGTGGTCTGATTCTCTTAGAAGATTCTCCAATCCCATCTGCACCACCAAGAACACAGTCTTTCTGTCTTCATGTCCAGTTGGCCTTCACTAAGTGCAAAGTTGTTTTTGTTTTGTTTTGTTTTTGACCTGCTTCTCTAAACACCTTCCAAATTCACAAACTCCTCCTGCAAACCAATAGCAAAGGCTTAGGGACCACAAAGTCCCAGGGGCAGAGCAGTCACCCTGCTTTCCGTATTTTGTTAGATTTCTGACCACTGCTGCACATAGCCAACCATCTAAAGGGAGGACAAGTTCATTTGGGTTCAGTTTTGGGTGTGTCAGTCCATGACTGACTGGATGTGTTGCTCTGGGTGTGAGGTACAGCAGATGTCATCCTGATGAGAGCCGGTAGAGGAGGGAGTTGGTAGCCAAAAAAAAAAAAAAAAGTTGAACCGGGAAAGGCCTAGAGACAAGGTGTGTCTTTCTAGGATGTGACCAATGACCTGCTTCCTTCAGGTAGGCTCTACCGCCTAATATTTCCAGTACCTCTCAGAACAAGGCCACAGGCTACGAACTGAGGCTTGCACATGAACCTGCCTGTACGGGGCATTTTATGAGCAAACCACTAATACAAAAGATATGTCTATGTCTATGCAAACGTCCTTGAGTTTGAGGGGCTGGAGAGGTGGCTAAATGATAACTGGCTGTTCTTTCAGACCACCCAGGTTTGTTCCCAGCAACCACATCATACATAGCTCACAACCTTCTGTGACTCTAGTTTTAGGGGATCCGATGTTCTCTTTTGGACTCTCAGACACTAGGCTAACACGGACATGCATTCAGTCAAAACACCCATGTGATTGATAGATGACTGATAGGTAGTTGGACGGATAGATAATAGATGACAGGAAGATGATAGGTAGTTAGATAGATGATTGATAGATAGATAGATAGATAGATAGATAGATAGATAGATAGATAGAGAAATCTTTCTCAAATTTGAAAACAACCCAACTCTAATGGCTGTTTCCAAGCATTTCAGATAGAGAGTGCTCAACCTATGTTGTTATTTATTGTTAGTATATTTTACCAGATTGTGAGCTCTTCTGGACTTGGACCTCAGTTTATTTGGTTTTCTGTCCCCAGTACCTGACATGTTACCTGGACACAATGAGCTCGTAGTGACTGATGGCGAAATGAAGATGAGCTGATGAAGGAAGGCATGTGATACACAGAGCTGTAGCTGGGGGCTTAGCTTTAAACAGTTAAATCAGCGAAGTGTCTAGTCAAGGCATAGACAGTTTACCATTGATGTGAAACAGAGCACTGGTAGCTGTGTCATTTCTTAAGGCAGCAAGCTAATTATTTCATGACGAAATTTAGCTGAGAAAAAATATCAACTCTATGCTTGAGTTATGAAGATCAACGGTGTAAGTGTAGGGGGAGAGAGAATGTTTTGACAATAGCAGACATGGGACCGATTAGGAATTTTGTTGACTAAAACTCAGTGTGGGCAATAGGCATCTTTAAGTGTCATAAAAACTAATAAAACCCAAAATAGGATGAAGTGTACATGGCTTAGAATGTCTGGCTTTAAAAAACTCGAAAGCTGATGAGAATATGCTGGAAGGATACAAGAACCAATTATAAGAAATGGCCGATAGCCAGAGCTGAGGCCATTTGAACCACAGAATAAGTAATAATAATAATAATAAAATAATAATAATAGATTATAATGATAGCACCATTTAAGTATTTCTGGGTTCATGCTTAAATAAATAATGGATGGATGGGGATTTCATTATAGCAGGGTTCTATTTAGCATATGCAAAGAATTGAAGAGAACAGAGGAATCTTGCAGAGAAGGACAGAAGTACAAATAGGAGGCATTCCTGTGCACTCAAGGCAGTCACTGTACTGCTTTGAGTGAGAATGGCCCCGCGGGCTCATTGAATTCTTAGTCCTGCGGGAGTGGAACTGTTTGATAGGATTAGAAGGATTAGGAGAGGAGGCCTTGTTGGAGCTAGTGTGGGGGGGTGGGGGGATGACATTGCAAAGCCTGTTCTAGACCCGGTCTCACTCTCTGCTTGTGGATCAGCATGTAGTTCTCAGCTCCTGTTTCAGTGCCTGTGTGCAAGCCGCCATGCTCCTGCCGTGATGACGATGAACTAACCCTCGGAAACTGAAAGCCAGCCCCCAGTTAAATGCTTTCTTTTACAAGAGTAGCCTTGGTCATGGTGTCTCTTCACAGCAATGGAACAGTGACTAAGGCAGTCATATTTCAGGTTCAAGGCTTAGGATTCTGCGGAGGGCAGGGGAAACAGGTAGAGAAAATTGGAATGGCATGGAACAAGCAGGTGACTCGTTACATCACATCTGCACAGAGAGGTGACTGCTGGTACTCGGCCAGCTGCCCTCTTTCTCTGCAGTCCAGAACCCAGGCTACCCACATTTAGGACAGGTCTTCCTCCTTGATTAAACCTTCCCGGACAAACCTTCATTAACACACCAGACGTGTGTTTCCATCTGTCCAAGTCAACAGTGAAGAGTAGCTGTCACAGATGGCTTTAGGGCACAGTTGGCCTTGGTGCTTTGATTTTATATCCAGGGACTTCACTGAATTCACTTATTCTAACAGTGAAGGGACTCTGTATATACTCAACCTAGCAGTTCACATTGTCAGCAAAACATAACGAAGAATGTTCATAAAACACCAAAGGAAGCAAACCAGTCTTCCGTCATCAGGCAAACATTTATGACATCCCATACCATAGCATGTGGGACTCTCATGCGTATAATATAGGGTAAAGGAATTGAGACAAAAAGGAACATGGGTTGTGATGCCAATGTCTGGCTGGCCAGAGCATGATGACAGAAGAGGGAATGTTGTCTTTGGAGGTGTCTTCCCTGGGAGGTGGTGTGTGGCAGTCTATGAGGGGTCCGCGAGGCTGCTCAGCTTGAGATGGGCAGTGCATGAGCATGGTCCCTGTAGAAAGTCACCAGCACGTGTACTTAAGTGGATTGTAGTTAAGACTTCAGAGGAAACTGAGCCAGGTTCACACTTTGAACTGTGTTTTAACTGATTTTTCCCGTTTACAAACAATTAACTTAAAAAAAACTTTTGCATTAAAGTAAAACTGTGCCTCTTCATCCTTAGGACAAAGTACAAATATGTTTGCCTGTTTATTGCTGTTGACTATAAAATGATGCTCAGTGTTGACAAAAATCTAAGACTTGTTACTTAGTTTGCTTTCTTTACAGATTTTTGCCCCTGTTATCGAGGTCAAAATAGTGCTTTTTTAATTGAGTGGTTACTAAGGACTTTAGGTACTAAGGCTTTAAGTAGATGAATGAATTTAATTTTCAAATAAACCCTGAGATAATGTCATAATGAATGCTACTTCAGTAATATGTTTGTGCCTACAAACATCACTCCTGGCTTCCTCTATAGTTACAGATATTAAATTGTCCCCATGTTTTGTTTTCATGAGACTCTGCTCACATCAACTATCAAGCAATGCTAATGGGATCTGCAGAGATGGCTCAATTGTTGTGAGCACCTCCTGCTCTTCTAGAAGACTCTTCAGTTTTCTCCCTAGCATCCATATCAGGTGGCCTACAACCATTTGGTATACACACACACACACACACACACACACACACACACACACACACACACCTAAATAAATAAAATAAAAAATGAATCTTAAAAGAAATCCTGATACTTTCTAAGCAAACACAAATTTGTCTTGGAGCAATTCAGAATTTCTTAAAATTTCAAAGGGGAAAAACATAGTGCATAGAATTGTGATAGGAGGGAGAACTGTGGTTGGAATGTAAAATAAAAAGATTTTTAAAAATGAAAAAAAGAATTACCTTCTGAATATTCTGTTGACCACTGAGCAGCATAGAGTTGATCTGAGAAGGTCTTCTTATACCTCTTTTTTTTTTTGTGAGAATTTCGTGACAAAACTTGCAAGTAAATCTTGCAACTTAGAAAAATTGAGAAAGTTGAAAATAATGTGTACCTAATGCATAAAATAAAGATGGATGTATTCTATTTTTATTATTCAATACCATAAATATTTTCAAATCTGTTATAAACAGCTGAAGTCATAATTTGTATGCACCTTACAGATCATACACAGCCCCATATGCCAGGGAAATGCAAACAAACACAAAGACACTGTGTAAATCCTAATCATTTTAAGTATAACCTGATAGTGTTAATTGATAAGGCTTTGGGAACAGGGAGAAAAAATTCTGATGTAAGTTTAGGGAAGTCACACGTTATTTGCCCTCCATGTTATTCACGGGTCAACTGTATTTACACTTAGTGTTGCTGGCAGACAGAATGGGAGACCGTGGTCGGGGGATTTTTCCCTAATGTGCTTAGAACCTGTCCATCATTTACTTCTTCAGACAACATAGGCTCCTGAGTACAAAGCACATCTAATGGGAGGCAGTTGAGAGTTCTTCACACAGGTATCATTTTCTCCTGCAGTCCCATCACCAGGACAGATTCAACACAGAGTTCACAGTGTGGGGCATTTCCCGGTGCCTGTCCGGCAGCCTCTGAAAGCCACAGCCTACGTGAGTCCAA